TGCCAGGCCAGTGACTAGGAGGAGGGATATCTGGTCAGGGAGGGAAGAGGTGTTGGTAACGGCTGGGGACCTGTAGGAGGAGGTCATAGGGCAAGTGAGGATGTAGTGAGAGAGGGTGTGAGAGTCGGGTTGGCCACAAAGTTTACAAACAGTGCGGCCAGGCTCAGGGTTACCAATGTACTCCCATAGGCACCTGTACCCTAGGCGCAGTCTCATGTATATAAGCGTCATAGTGGCATAGTATGATGCTACCCCGTTGTTTCAGGTGTGTCCAATTTTCGTTGAATGCCTCGGGGTTATAGAGGTTCAGATTGGTGGTTAATATCGGGGTTATAGATGTTCAGGTGGTGGTAATATCGGGGTTATAGAGGTTCAGGTGGTGGTTAATATCGGGGTTATAGAGGGTCAGGTGGTCCCATTTATCGGGGTTATGAAGTGCTGGTTAGTAACATGGTTAGGGTAATGTGCTCCCTCCTCTTCCTCCTCCTCCTCCCTACTCTCTCTCTCACCCCTCCTCCTCCATCCTCTCTTTCCCTCCCTCCTCCTCCCTTCTCTCTATCTCTCTTTCCCTCCCTCCCTCTCTCCTCCCTTCCTCTCCCTTACCCTCCATGTCACTTAACTCATCATGACGTCACACTTACGCCAGCCTGTTAAGCTCAGGCAACCAGAGAGAGAGAGAGAGAGAGAGAGAGAGAGAGAGAGAGAGAGATTAATAACGCCATCTATTCATTACATATTGCGTCTTTCTTTCCTTTCAATACGAATACTTTTGTTGTAAAATGTCTCCAGATTTAATAATAATAATAATAATAATAATAATAATAATAATAATAATAATAATAATAATAATAAAAATAATAATAAAAATAAAAATAATAATAATAATAATAATAATAATAATAATAATAATAATAATAACCTCACACGTCATCTTCGTCCACAAATCCAACTTAATCCAGATTCCAAGATAAATATAAAGGGTAAAAAAGTCTTAAGACATTATTAACTCTATTTTACCAGCCAATAGGAACACCCACGTCAGTATAAGAGTCAGAACCCAAGAGAATAGATGACTTGATAACAAAACAGCATCGGCCATGTTGTGACGTCACGGGATCAGCTGTGTGCCTCCTGTAAACAATAATTTAGATCTCGGGAGCGTATTGTTAGGTTCTACTCTCTTCTCTTCGGAGTTGACGAGCCCGGGTTGATGTGCAGATGATGATGATGATGGTGGTGATGATGATGATGATGATGATGATGATGATGATGATGATGATGATGATGAAGTTTAATATTATTATTATTATTACGAATATATTTAGTCATTATTATTATTATTATTATTACGTATATATTTACTGTCATTATTATCTAACCACCCATCCCTCTATCCATCTAACCATCCATCCACCCACCCACCCATCTCACCATCCACCCATCCATCCATCCATCCACCCACCCATCCATCCATCCATCCACCCACCCATCCATCCATCCACCCACCCATCCATCCATCCATCCATCCACCCATCCATCCATCCATCCATCCACCCACCCATCCACCCACTCACCCATCCACCCACCCACCCACCCATCTCACCATCCACCCACCCACCCATCTCACCATCCACCCACTCCACCCATCATCTCACCATCCACCCACCCACCCATCTCACCATCCACCTGACCCATCCTCACCCCACCCACCCACCCAGCACCCATCTCACCACATCCACCCATCTCACCACATCCACCCATCTCCACCATCCACACCCACCCACCCATCTCACCACATCCACCCACCCAATCTATCTCTTACCATCCACCCATCCACATCCATCCATCCGACAATATCAAAACACACCTGCCTGGCATCTTCGACCCACCCCCTAAAAAAAAAATAAAAGATGTTCAGACTACAAACACTCAATTTATGTTGTTTTTCGTGTGTTAATTGGAGTAAGGACGAACGTTGGATGAGTTACCTAGAGTCTCAGAGCTATTTGGACGCCATGTTTAGTGTTGTTGTTTGTCAGTCAGTTTTAATGTTTTTCTTTAGATATTCATTTGTTTTGTAGTTAGGTTAGGTAGTATATATCTGTTTTGCCTGTCTGTCTGGCTGTTCAAACTGTCTCACACACTTTACTCCTGGTCTGCTCTCCCTCTCTCTCTCTCTTCTCTGTCTGTTCCTCTCCACCTGGGGGTCAGTGTCCGGGGGGGGGGCCAGTGTCTGGAGGAGGGGAGGGTCACTGTCTGGGGGGGGAGAGGGATAGTCAGTGTCCAGAGGGCCTCAGGTCCGGCGGGGTCAGTCCGGGGAGAGGGTCAGTGTCCGGAGGGTCAGTGTCAGGGGGGCCAGTGTCCGGGGGGTGTATGTAGGAGGGAGGGGGGGCGACATCATTATCACCTATATCTCAGGTAACACAGTGCCACTAATTAATGGCATCACCTGGCGAGGGCGATGATATGCCTTTAATTACCACCTGGACAGTACCTTTAGGGGGAAGGTACCGGGTATTTGGACAGTACCTGGTATCTTGACAGTACCATTAGGGATGGTGACTGGACAGAGGGAGTGAGTGGGATGAAGTGAGTGGGCTGGAGGGAGTGAGTAAAGTGGGCTGAAGTGGGTGGGGTGAAGAGAGTGAAGTGGATGAGTGGGCTGAAGGGAAGGAGCGAGTGGGCTGGAGGGAAGGAGTGAGTGGATGAGTGGGCTGAGGGAAGGAGTGAGGCTGGAGGGAAGGAGGTGAGTGGATGTAGTGGGCTGAGGGAAGGGAGTGAGTGGGCTGAAGGGAAGGAGGAGGGATGGGCTGAGGGAAGGAGTGCGAGTGGATGAGTGCGGGGCTGGAGGGAAGGAGGGAGTGGGCTGAAGGGAGGAGGAGGGATGAGTGGGCTGGAGGGAAGGAGTGAGGGGATGAGTGGGATGGAGGGGTGGAGGAGTGGGGTGGACAGATTTAATGCAGTGACGTGTTCAATTGAAAAGTAATAAGTGAGGTCGGGGTTCAATAGGGCGACACTATAACGGTACTGGGGGGGTGATAATACGTGGTTTATGGTGAAATACGTGGTTTATGGTGAAATACGTGGTTTATGGTGAAATACGTGGTTTATGGTTAGAAATACGTGGTTTATGGTGAAATACGTGGTTTATGGTGAAATACGTGGTTTATGGTGAAATACGTGGTTTATGGTGAAATACGTGGTTATGGTGAAATACGTGGTTTATGGTGATAATACGTGGTTTAGAATTGATATACGTGGTTTATAGTGTATATACGTGAATTTTAGTGCAGAGGAGAGTACCTTGGTCATATAATACACGGAGTTTGGGCTTCAAATTGGGACCCGTTTTCTATGACTCAATCCCTTATGTCGGCTCAGGGGTAGAAGCGTCGGATCACATGAAGAATCACCACCCCAGGTTATTTCACCTTAAGATTAATCTAACCTAACGCTAATTTAACCTAACCTAACGCTAATTTAACCTAACCTAACCTAACACTAATTTTACCTGACCTGACCTAACCTAACCCCCTCAAGATTATACCCCTATTAAAACCCTATGTAAACCCCCTCCCAAGGACGCAAATCTACCCCTCCCCCCAAGGCAAACCTACCCCTCCCAGACGCAAACCTACCCTCTCCCCAAAGACGCAAACCTACCCCCCCCACCCTCAAGACGCAAACCACCCCCCTCCCCCCAAGACGCAAACGGTCTACGGCCCTAGAAAACAGTGCGTTAATGTTCAATAAGGCAAACAGAGTATTGGGTTTTATATCTAGAAATTATAAGTAACAAGTGCAGAGGTCTTATTGCAACTATATCTTGCGCTTCTAGTCAGGCCGCACCTCGATTATGCGGTTCCAGTTCTGGTATCCCTATTATAGAATGGATATAAATTCACTAGAGTCGATTTTTGACGAAGAATGACGAAAATGATTCCGGGACTTAGAAACCTTCCATATCAGGATAGGTTAAAGAAACTTAACTTGCATTCCCTAGAAAGACGAAGAGTGCGGGGAGATATGATAGAAATATTTAAGTGGGTGAAAGGAATCAATAAAGGGGATATAGATAAAGTTCTTATAATATCAGAGGAGGATAGGACTCGGAGTAACGGATTCAAGTTGGATAAGTTTTGGTTTAGGAGGGAGATAGGAAGAAACTGGTTCACAAATAGGGTGGTGGACGAGTGGAACAAGCTTAGTAACTTTGTAGTAAGTGCGGGAACTCTGGAAAGTTTCAAAAGGAGGCTAGATAGATTCATGGATGATAGAGAGTGGTAGTAACTCTCGACAGGAGCTGCCATGCACAGGCCAACCGTCCTATTGCAGAATCCTTATTTTCTTATGTTCTTATGTTCTTAAACCTACCCCCCTCCCCCCAAGACGCAAACCTACCCTCCCACCCCTCCCCCAAAGACGCAAACCTACCCTCCCACCGAGATCCTCCCCAAGACGCAAGCCTACCCTCCCCACCCCTTAAGACGCAAACTAACCCCTCCCCCAAAGACGCAAACCTAACCCTCCCCAAAGACGCAAGCCTACCCCTCCCAAGACGAAGCACCCCACCCCCAAGACATAAACCTACCCCCTCCCCCCAAGACATGAAGCCTACCCTCCACCCCCCCTACCCCCGTCACAGGAAGCCTTACAGTGAAACTCTTGGCACTGAGGTCATGGTGCCAGTAGTGCCACTTGTTTAAGGCTTCACCCCAGAAAAAAGAAAGGTCATGTCTCTCCTTTACTTGCCCTCCGCCCCTCTCTCTCCTCCCCTACCCCTCTCTCTCCCCCCTCCCCTCTCCATTCCCCCACTCTATCAAGCAAAAATCCAAACATCCACTCACTCTAGTGCTTGGCTTAAGTAGTAGTGGGCACAGATACATCATGCCCCCTACCCACACACACCTCCGATCCCCTACCCACACCTCGAAATACCCCTACCCCACTCACCCCCCCACCCACCCCAACAACAACAAACAACATAATTGGACTCACACTTGCCGGGTGATGTCTCGATAAGTTCATGCGACATTGCCATAATATCCCCTGCAAGGAAAAAAATACGGGTAAATTACTCATGTTGTGGGGGGAAAAAATACGGGAATAAATACGGGTAAATTACTGATATTGTGGGGGAAAATACGGGAATAAATACGGGTAAATTACTCATGTTGTTGGGAAAAAATACGGGAATAAATACGGGTAAATTACTCATGTTGTTGGGAAAAAATACGGGAATAAATACGGGTAAATTACTCATGTTGTTGGGAAAAATAAAAAATAAAATTCTCGAAGAAAAAAAAAAGTATTTTTTTTTAAATTGTGAGAAAAATTAAATCCAGGTAAAAAGTTTCTACATGTAAAATTACCAAGCGTAATAATTAATGGTGTGTGTGTGTGTGTGTGTGTGTGTGTGTATGACCTTAGCATTTGATGAGGAACTAACTGGGAGCTCGACCTGGCTTCCTTATGTAGCTGAGAGAGAGAGAGAGAGAGAGAGAGAGAGAGAGAGACGAAATCAACAACCAAATCTCTATTAACATATCAAATGGTTAGGTTAATTCACACACACACACACACACACGACCCACTGGTGAGGTTAAAGCTGACAGTTGAACAGATGACAGTTACTGAGTAGACTAACGGGAGGAATAAAGTAAATAGACAGACAGACAGACGAGTAGACAGTAGAACAGACAGACAGACACAGCAGTAGACAGTGACACAGACAGACACAGCAGTAGACAGTGACACAGACAGACACAGCAGTAGACAGTGACACAGACAGACAGAAAGATATAACAAAATAAAGACAAGCTAACCAACAGACAGACAGACAGACAGACAGACTGACAGACAGGGAGTGAAGGGGTTGGTACACTTACATAAATTTGAAACCTAGTAAGTTCATTAACACACCTGTCCTTCCCGGAAACTGTGTCACCTGTGTGTGTGTGTGTGTGTGTGTGTGTGTGTGTGTGTGTGTGTGTGTACCAACTATAACTACTACTACTACTACTACTACTAATAATAATAATAATAATAATAATAATAATAACAATAATAATAAAACAATAATAATAACAATAATAATAATAATAATAATAAATAATAATAATAATAATAACCAACAAACAAACCCCCACACCTACGTAGTTCACCAACTCAAACACCCATTATATCCTCGAACACTCTGTTCACCACCCTCCCCCCACCACAACCTTCCTCAAAAGCTTAAAACAGCTTAGAAAATCAACCAATCGCGCCAATTATCGAACTTATCCAAGCTCTAGGAACGAACAACGACTTTACGAAGTTTCAACACAATTTACCCAGGCGTTTCAGACTTATCGCGTGGACACCAAGACACCCCACGTTACATAACACGCGATGACCACACTGGATGGCATATAAGAGTGATATAAGTGTGACAGTGTGTATTAATGCCAGTATTTATCATTCTAGTGTGTATTCCTGTTATCTTTCACCCTTTTTTTCCCAGGTAGGGTGATAGGGTGCGGCTGGTAGTCTTTTCAACACTTGTCACCTTGATAGATATACAATCACCTTTATAGCTCACTTTAGTCTCTGGGGTTAAGGAATCAGGGTGAGAAACCTGTCACCCTTTTTAGCTCCAAATGCTCTCACATTTCACCCTAGGCACTATCACCTCTCACCTTAGGCACTATCACCTCTCACCCTAGGCACTATCACCTCTCACCCTAGGCACTATCACCTCTCACCCTAGGCATCTCTCAGTCATCCTAGCCACTGCCACCCAGACACAGAGACAGACAGACAGACATGCACACACAAATAGAAACAGACAGACAGACAGACAGACAGACACACTACATCCTTGACCACCGGAGGGTCAAGACCTATTCAGGCGCTGCTCCTGCTGGGCCCATTCCCCAAGTCCCTCTCCCCGACCCATCCTCACCACCGGGATATCAACATAATCAAAAGTGACAATCTCGTTTCGGAAATAAATGGGATCAGTGATGAACAGTGTTTAAGCAAGTTAATTCAGCACCAGACAGTACCAGTGAGAGCCGTGACCCACCAGTGAGATAAGCACCACTGGGAACTGACCACCATCTGACCAGGAGGTGCTAATCAGTCCACCCTGGGGACAACAGAGGGCCGGCTTCACACCTGACTACGAGATAACACAACACCACCCAGCAGAGTGAGGTACTGTGACACCACACAGTGTCCCCATGACCACGTGAGGTCCTTCATATCAACACCCGAGGACGAGTTACTACACCACGTGAACACCACACCACCTGGTGTCTCAATGACCAGCCTAGGCCCGGGCCATCAACTGTAAACTATAATAATTTGTATGTTCAATCATTGTTCCTTCTCCTTTCAGTAATGAAAACTTTTGTTCAACGACCCACCCACCTACCCCATATCTTTGTATGTAATAAGTCATTTTTGTCTAATGTATATTTTCAACCATCGGGCTGCCGAACTTTTTCAATAAACCGTTAATTATTATTATTACACACACACACGCACACAAGTAGACAGACAGACAGACACACACAGACAGACACACACACACACAGACAGACACACCGCCAGAGGGTATTTTCGTACTTATATCTCTTCTTTCCATTGTCAACATCATCTCTGGCCTCCTCCTCTGCTTCCCACGTCTTCTCTTCCTCTTCTTTGCACGCCTATCTCTCTCTCTCTCACTCTTGCTTCCTTCTCTTCTTTTTCTTCTTCTTCTTGATCCTTATACCTCTTCCTCATTTGATTTCTCTCTTAGTAGTTCTTCTTCTTCTTCTTCTTGTTCTTCTTCTCCTTCGTCTTCTTCTTCTTGTTAATATTATTTTTTCCATCTTTGATTTTTATTCTTTGTCTTCCTTTTTCTATTCTTCTTTACTCTTCTTCTTCTTCTTCTCTCCCCTATATTTATTTTTCTTCTTCCGTTCTCCTTCTTATTCTTTTTATCATCATCACCATCATCATAATTGCTGTTCCTCCTCCTCCTCCTCTTCTTCTCCTCCTCTTCTTCTTCTCCTCCTCTTCTTCTTCTCCTCCTCTTCCTCTCCTCCTCTTCTCCTCCTCCTCTTCTTCTTCTCCTCCTCCTCTTCTTCTTCTCCTCCTCCTCTTCCTCTCCTCCTCCTCTTCTCCTTCCTTGGTGTTCTCACTTTACTGTTTCACCTCATCTTCCTCCTCAAATTACCTCACCGTGACCACAGGGTACACACACACACACACACACACACACACACACACACACACACACACACACACACACACAGAGTTACGTGGTAATTTAAACTTATGAGCCTTTGATAGCCAGATCGTCAACACCATTACCCGCCACCTTCACCTAAAGCTGAATATAGTGTTTAATGAGGTAAGACTGGCCTCCATGTTACACCTAGGATCTGTCTACACCTTAACAGGAGATCAAAAGCTTAGTTTCAGCTTTCTGACCTAGGATCTGTCTACAGCTTAACAGGAGATCAAAAGCTTAGTTTCAGCTTTCTGACCTAGGATCTGTCTACAGCTTAACAGATCAAAAGCTTAGTTTCAACTTTCTGGGTTATGACCAAATTGGATTCTCAAACGCAGTTAGGTGGGTTAATGCTTATCAAAATATGTAGAAGTTAGAATGCATTTAACCTAACCTAACCAACCTAACCTAACCAACCTAATGAACTTAATCATTTAACCTATGATAGAAAGATGGGTTAAAAAAGGTCGTATCTATCTGGGTAATTTAACCTATGATAGAAAGGTGGGTTAAAAAGGTTGTATTTAACTGATTAACCTAATCTAACCTAACCTAGGACAAAAGAAATGGATTCACAATGCATCATAATTTTTTTTTTTGCTTTTAAACTGACGTAGAAAAAACGTCTCTACCAACACTCACTTAACACCACAAAGATGGATTCTCGCAAGGTTAGGTTAGGTTAGGTTAGATTAGGATAAATTAGGCTTGGTTAGCGTTAGTTAGGTTAGGTTGGGTTAGGTTGGGTGAGGCAGGAGCACCATTCCCTTAAGTAGGTTACCAGCGAGTGAATCACCTGTAATTACCTGTGCGTACCTGTGTGTATGAACGTCATCACCTGGCTCAGCTAATTAACACTGTGCACTGTATACCTGTGTCAACCTCCCGTACCTGACTCACTGGCTGTCACGGGTTCGATTCCCGGGCCGGTGGAAGTTGTTTGGACTTACTTCCTAGCCCCCATTAGTCCCTGTTCACCTAGCAGTAAAGTAGGTACCTGGTGTAAATCGAAAGTTGCGAATTCGTATTCAGGGAAAGTTGTTGGAGCTTCCAATAACTGCATGACATAAACCACTGACTCTTCAGGCTTCTACGCCCTTGACTCTTCAGGCTTCTACGCCCTTGACTCTTCAGGCTTCTACGCCCTCGTGAGACATAAAGGCAAGCATGAACTTAGCATGCTTCCCTGTTGGGCGCTGTAAACGCTTCTGCGCTTCACCTTACACAAGGATGTAGGGGAGTGCCCAATAAATAATAAAAAAATGGCTCACTCACTCACTGATTCACTAACTCAGTCAATGGGGGTCAGAGGTCAACGTCACAATGAGGAGGTTCAGAGGTCAAGATCATAGTTGGGTCAAAGCCACAGTTGGGTCAGAGGTCAAGGTTACAGTGGGTAGGTCAGAGGTCAAGGTCACAGTGGGTAGGTCAGAGGTCAAGGTCACAGTGGGTAGGTCAGATGTCAAGGGTCAAGGTCAGTTGGGTCAGTGGTAAAGGCCAAAAATGGGTCAGAGATCAAGTCCACAGTTAGGTCAGAGCTTAAGGTCACAGTTGGATCAGAGGTCACAGTTGGTGTCAGGGTCACAGTGGGGTGAACAGGGACCAAGGGAGGCTGGGAAGTGTGTCCGAACAACTTTCCACCGGCCCGGGAATCGAACCTGTGACATCTTGCTTGCGAGGCACAGCAGCGGCAGTGAACTTGACTTTATTACACTCGTTCAACTCTACCTTGACCTGTGTGGCTTCACGTCTTGTAGGGAGGAGGAGGAAGAAGAAGGAAGTG